TAGAGTGGAAGGAGACCCTCCCTCGACCGGCTGGCCACACTCTTCTTGATGCACCCCAGGATCCCGTTGGCTTTCTTGGCAGCCAGGGCACACTGCTGGCTCATGGTTAACCTGTCGTCCACCAGGACGCCCAGGTCCCTCTCCGCAGAGCTGCTCTCCAGCAGGTCCACCCCAAGCCTGTACTGGTGCATGAGGTTGTTCCTCCCCAGGTGCAGGACGCTGCATTTGGCTTTGTTGAACCTCATCAGGTTCCTCTCTGTAAAGTCAAGTCCCTGAGCCACCAAAGCACAAACCTGTGGAACAGAGATGGGTGGTCAGACCTCGGCTTTGCTGCAGGGAAGTCTGAAGACCAGGGCTGTAACCTGGGACGCCTCAGGCTGCTGCTAGCAGTTGGGTCTACATTGCTGGTTTTAACCCTCAGCAGGGGAACACGGCTCCTCTCCTCCCCAGCCCCGCTTTGCTTACGCTTCAGAGGGATTCCAGAGAGAAGCGCGCTTGACTCTGCCAAACTCATCTCGAAGGAAGCGTTTACCACAGAAAATTTCAACCCGTCTGAAATAGCACACATTGTTACCCTTGGGCATCGCAACGAGCTGTGCCAGGTAAAGCATTGTGATAACACCTTGCTAACTAGTTCACTCAACTCATTTTCAAAGTCCGTGCTGAAGTCTGTAATGAATACATGGTTGTGCTGGTAGCTATGAGTTTGTGTGACTTCTGGTCATCGTTTATTGCTGACTTTTCTAAAACTTTTCCGCAGGTGTTCAAGCACAGCACCACAAGCATTAAAAAGTTGGTGATGTTAGTAAGTCACTTCAGTTTTGGGTTTTTTTTAACTCTCTACTCACCTATGATTTCTGAGGAGGAAGCTCACTAATCAAGTTTTCTTTGGCACTCATGACAGCATAGCTTTGTAACATAAAAATCTTAAACTGACATTGTTTATTGATATCCTACTTCTTGCAGGAGATAACAGATACATAACATCTTTTCCACACTTGACCCAGTTTGAAAAGGCAGGCTGTGTGTCTTTTGAGTCTGTAGCTTGGATTACAGGAAAAAAATTAATTAGAATATGGCCTTTGTCTGAGAGGGGAACTGACACGCATTTATTAAAATCTGTAATCCATCACAGTTGAAGATTATAGAAGATTTTTTTACGATTCTTATTTTTTTCTAGATCAAAACCAATATGTGTGAGTAAAGAGATTATCCTAAGCACTTATGTTTTAAATAACTTGTCAGCATGCTAAGATGATGCATGTGATTACAAACATCTCTGGAAGAAACCTTGAACAACAGCCGATTCCTTGGATTATCATTTTACAATGTCTGCAAACCAGTTTAGGTTGAAAGGAGCAGTTATATCAAGATGGGATTTTAGAAAGGAGGATTCCTTTTTTGCTTTTGGTCCATAGAGGCTTGGAAAACACAATGAAATTAATTGGCCTAAAACCTACTTTGTATATACAACTGTATGCAACTGCAGCTCCATTAGTAGAAGATACCAAAGTGAAAAGCATGAAGTTATTTGAGGCTACAGGCCCATTTTCCCTGAAGAAAAGGCTGGGGAAGTAGCACACAAGCATTACAGTTACTTCTGTTGTGGGTGAAGTGCAGAAGTACACGGTAAGAAGATTCTGGAATGTGGTTTGGAAATGGCCACAAGATCATGATTAACATCTCTCATACAGGCACCCCTAGAGATTAAGAAAGGACAAATTGTGCCCATGTGTACTGGTTTTGGCTGGGACAGAGTTAATTCTCTCCCAAGCAGCTGGTATTGTGCTGGGTTTCGGGTTTGGGATGAGAACGATGTTGATAACGCAGGGATGCTTTGGCTGCTGCTGCGCAGCCCTTACACCGAGTCAAAGACCGCTCGGCTCCTCACGGTGCCCCGCCAGCGCGGGGGCCGGAGGTGCACGGGGAGCTGGAGGGGACGCAGCCAGGACGGGATACCGGGGCTATTCCGTACCGTATGACGTCATGCTCATCGTATGAACGGGGGGAGCTGGCCGGGGGGTGGCAGCTGCTGCTGGGGACGGGCTGGGCGTTGGTCAGTCCACGGTGAGCAACTGCATTGTGCATCGCTTGTTTTGCATAGTTCATTATTATTATTATTATTCCTTCCTTTTCTGTTCAATTAAACTGCCTTATCTCAGCCTATGAGTTTTCCCTTTTCTCCGATTCCCTCCCCCGTCCCACTGCGGGGGGGGGGGAGCGACCGGCCACGCGCTGCTTGGCTGCCTGCCGGCTTCAGCCACACCACGACGGTTCTGGGACAAACGGGGTAAATTGTACAACACAGCTGTCCTCGTCGGCCTAGATGCGCAAGCGGAGGGTGTCAGTCACCCCGAGAGCTTTCGAGGGAGTGCTGAGGGACCCCCAGGCCGCCTGGAAAGAGAAGATATTCCCTTTCCCCAGCAAGCAGCCGCCAGACACCTTTGTGCGCACCAGCTTTGTGCCCGAGAGCTGTGAAGGAAATGCACGTGTAACTCAAGAGTGTTGTAAAAATGTACATCCTTTGGGAAGACGAGCAAGTGCTGTGTATTTGAACCGCTTAACACCCCCAAAATAACACGCATATAACACACAAAAAAATTAGATCCTATTTTTCAATGGTGTTAAATTTATTTAGGGATACATTGTAAGTTTGCTTCCACTTAGCAGCCGTATCTTGTCCTGTTCTTCCGGAACTTCAGAATGGGCGGCCGTGGCCGCCGGCTGAGCTGCCTGCGCGGGTCCCGGGGATCTGCTGGGTGCGTGAGGGGAAGCTGCGGGCAAGCGCAGACGTTAGGAGGGGTGTGAGGAACCCTCGCTGCACTTCACAGCCCGGTCATGGGGACTTGGGCAAGGGAAGGCCAAACACTGGTGGAAACCTTCTGGAAAGGCCAGAAGTCGCAGGGTGATAACACCATGCATGACTGAGATGCTCCAAGTGGCAGCATCAGAGGTTTCACGTTTGGGTACGGCTGTGAGAAAACTGAGATCCATGAAGAACAGGTAATTAGGTTGTTTATCTACAAAGAGACAGAGAGATCAGGGTGGAGAAACAGTGATCAAGGTGGACAGGGAAAGAATAAGCAGGGGAAAACAGAGAGAAGAGGGGTGAAAGGGGCTGCGTGCACGTAAGCAGGCTGCCGGGCAGCACTCTTGCCCGTTGGTGCCCTGTGCCTGATCACTGCCCTCTGTCCTGCCACCTTTTTCAGTCCTCTTTCTATTTGCTGTGTGATGAATCGTGTGTGTGCAGATCGGCTGACAGACTGAGCTCCCTCACACATCCTCACCTCAGAACATCAGTCAACTGCCATCTCCAAGCCAACGTCAGGACCGTCTTCAGGACAAGGGGCAATGGGCACAAACTGAAGCACAGGAAGTTCCGTCTGAACATGAGGAAGAACTTCTTCCCTCTGAGGGTGACGGAGCACTGGAACAGGCTGCCCAGGGAGGTTGTGGAGTCTCCTTCTCTGGAGATACTCAAGACCCGCCTGGACAAGGTCCTGTGCAGCCTGCTGTAGGTGACCCTGCTTTGGCAGGAGGGTTGGACTGGATGACCCACAGAGGTCCCTTCCAACCCCTATGATTCCGTGATTCTGTGATTCTCCCACCCTTATTTTTCATGGAAGTTCCTGTCCATTAGTTACTGTGGCCTTCTGGTCCAGAACCGTATCTCTGCTCTCAGTATTTCTAACTAGCAACTGACTGTACCAAATCGTTATTCTCACGGCCCGTGTTAGTTTTAAACAAAGACCTATTTCTGCTCCAGGCTCCTCCACCCTCCTCGGTGCTGCAACCTCTGGCACAATCAGTGCCTTCTCTTGCCAGTTCAGAAGGTCACAGAAAACAGTTGAGTGGCCAAGTCAAAACATTTTCCTTTCGTTCTTGCAGAGATTACTGGCTTTATTGCTTCCCAGAGCTCAGCTTTTGCTTTGCCGAAGGAGACAGCAAAGAGCCCTGCAGCTGCACGAGGGGTCTGAAGCCAAGCCAGTGTGGAGAAGCCTTGCAGGGGGGCGGCTGGGGCACTCTGGAGGCCTGGGACAGCCTGTCAGCAACCGGCCCGGAGGATATGCCAGGAGAAACTAAAACAGGCGCTAGTGTGGACACTATGGGTACGAATGTGGAGCAGAGATTAAATAACAAAACATAAAGTTTTCTGAAGCTGTCTTCTGGACTTGCAGTCCCCACAGAAAGCTGCCTGCAGGTCAGCCCTGAGTCCTTATTCTGGTAACCAAGAGCTCTCCTGTACGACAGTGAGACTGTCTGCTGTACGTGGCAGACTGCTAAGCACAGACTGAGGTATTTGTATTTATTTTTGCAATGCCATAGGTAAAAACAATTTTAACAATGCCAAGTACAGGTGTTATTCTCATAAAAACTTGTCATTTCAAAACAAATGATTTCCATTTCCCACGAAAAGTTAAAATCACATGCAGCTATATGAAGGTTAATTGCTTAAGATGCACAATTAGACATCAGAAGACTTCGTTAAAATAAAAACATACTGGACTACATCATTTTAACAAGGCAATTACACAGAACTAGAAAACTGACTCTGTAGTAAAATATAAAAATCTACAATTATAAATATAAATTTGGTCCATGGATCACTACAGAAGTAGCAGTATTTACAGTAAGTACCAGATTGCTATTCTAAATACCTAATTGAAGTCTTAAAATGTGGAATGTTACGGAGAACAGTATTTTATTTACATTCTACTATATTAAAAGTTATATTTCTAGCAAATGTAAATTGTTATAAATACAGCAAATAAATCAAATACTAAACCCATGACATGTCTGTAATTGAGAATCCCCTAACATCTATAAATATGATAATTTTAAGTTAAAAGTAAAGCCAGATAAATCAAAAACTAATACTGAAAAAGCGTACCACAATTCAATCCTTAGAAACACTGTAAAAGTCAATCAAGTTAGTCCAGACGTAACAACTTATTACAAGAAATCTCTCAAGAAAAGGCACACATTGTTAATGATCAGAGTTCCGCAGTGAGGTTGGATGTAGCAGAAATGACTGTTGGTTTGAGCAAGGGTTGGGATCTGATTATCTATAGAGTGACTGGGCAGATTTCCTCCCCCCCAAAAAAGTATAAAACTGAAAATCGTAACGGTAAACTCCAGGTGTAACTGGGGTGATGCAGGTATGCGCGTGTTTAACTTGACGCGTTAATTAAACTAAAGATTCTAAACTTTCCGCTGCGTTTCCATCGGGTAAAGCTGAGCCATTACTGTCCATAGACGCCGAAGGGTTTTCTTCTTGCCTTGTGCTGACAAGGCTGAGGATAGCTTTGTACAGAAACTGGTACTGCTCCTGGGGAAGACAAGAGGATGCAGTCAGCGGGTGGTCAGAAACCATACCACCAGATTATTTTGTAACACCGCTACTCCAAGTTAATCAACAGCTGATGTGTCAGTCTGCTGATGTACTGTGCTCCACAATTTACTGTGTTACTTAGCAGCTTTATTAATTTTCTGACGAACGGCTCCCCCTGTACACAACATAAAGCACAACATTCAGGAACACAGCACAGGCACGGGAGAAAAAAGAAACACTGTGGGCTGAAGCTGACCCTCGTTCAAGTCAATCGCAAAGTTCCCGTTGACTGAATGGGGTCAGGATTAGGGCTACTGTTTGTCTGTTGGCATTTTCCCCCCTTGAATATGTTCGCATTTTTTGGTCCTCTGAATTCTACCCAGACAGATTATTATTTTTTTTTTCTTTTTGGTACTTGCAGTTACTTTTTATGTTTTTGAAGATCCTGCCAGGCAGTAGAGGTAAGAAGAGCGCCGAGACTCTTGTGGGAAGATTCACTGAGGAGGCCACTGCCTGGAAGGAGCAGAGGGTCTCAGCTGGGTGTGGTGAGACATGGGGAACGCCAGGAGCCACCCGGGCTGCAGCGTGGGCTGGGTGCTCTGAGCAGGGCGAGCAGGCACAGCGGAGGCTGTGCTGCACCAGATAACAGCGTGAGCTCCGAAAGGGCAGGGGAATATTTGGGGATCTAGGACAGATATATGAGGATATGAGGATAAAGAACTTCTGCGATGGAAGGAGTAAAGAGCAATAAGACAAATTAAACAGGGTGGGGTTTGGGGGTCTGGACTGTTAGGTTGGACCAAGAGATAGGGGGTAGAAAATCTGCAAGAGGAGGATGGGAAACTGGAAATCTGAAATAGAGGGCCCAGGTATTTGCTGGAGGCTCCTGAGGCAAGAGGAGGAAGGTCCTGATGGTGCTGCTGAGGTGGGAAGAGCTCTCGCTTTCACTCCATTGCCCACCAGGCTCCTCAGTCTGGGCTAGCGGGGCAGGGCAAGGGGCAGACGCATCTGTCAATCCTGTGTCATGGCCTGTTTTTGCTGTCAAAGTGTGATAACGCTAACACCAACGTTTCATTCTTAGAGTGGTCTCCTTCTCACACCCATTGCGGCTCTACAGCAGTCAGATTTGTAGTGTATGACCAAATGGGCAGGGTTCATAGTTTTTCAATTCTGTGATGAATTTTCATTTGTATGACACTGACTTAGTAATTCTTATTTGTTGTACGTTTCATGGCTTTTTCTTTCTGTAAGCACAGTGACAATGGTGTCAAGTGACCATTCAACGGATCACGAAAGATCAAAGTCCATCCTGAAATGAAAAACTAAGGTAACTGCTTCAGGGTCCTC